AAGGTAAAAGGAGAAAACCCATTTTAGGATGAGGTATTTAATTTTAAATGGTTATGTTAATTAGATGAGCCAAAGGGGACTTTTGATTGCTAGACTTTAATACTTTAATAGCAGACCTTAGTTGTCAGCCTCAAGGGGAGAAAGTAGCCAAAGAAGGGAATGGACCTTAATGGATAGTTTTAGGAATGTAATGGTTTTTAGCAAGACCAAGGGAATGGGGGAAGGGCACAGCGTGCCAGAGCAATGTCTGCCATGCTGGGTCAGGCTAGAGTTCCTTTCCTAAGTACTTCCTTCACACCAAGTGCTTTCTTCACACCAAGATGCAAATTTTTATAACTTCCTTTTATGTTGAGAATTTCATATATTCATATAAAGCTTTGATCAAGTCCCTCTCCCTTTCCATCCCTCTAATTCCTTTACTATCCTCTTCACATGTACTCTATTTTTAGACCCAGAGTCCATTTAGTGTTTTGTTTTGTTTTTTAAACTGCTGGTTATTCCTGATGTCAACGAGTCTCGGGGGCAGGGTGAAGGAGTTGACCTATGCATGAGCTGAGTAGGCAAGCCAAGTGAAGATGGCCACTTTTTTACAATGCATCAAAGACCAACACTGTGATCTAGATAGTCATGAGCAGTTATAAAGCCTTGAGACCCTGTAGTACAGATGGTGGTAGATTTCATCTAAGGCTGTTTCATTCATTCAACAGTCATCAAATTCATTAAAAATGTGCCATAAATACTATTAACCATTACTGCAAAACAATGATGATGTAATATGATTTAAAGGACTGTACAGTTTTAAAATTGTGCTAACAATATGTGATTGTTTTGATTTTTTCACCCACTTTCTATTTTCTGTCCATTTAATTATAGCAGTCCTACTGGGTGTGAGGTGAGACCTTCTTTCTGGTGGTGTGCTTTCCATTTCTCTGGTGGCTAATAATATGGAGCATCTTTATTTGTGCTTATTGGCCATTTGCAAATTTCTTTGTTATGGTGTCTGCTTATATTAGTGACCCTTTTAGTTGCTGTGTTGTTCTTTTAGTATTAGTCATTGTTCTATTTTCTAATATGCTCTTTACAAGATGCATGCGCCCTCTCATTCTACTGTTTGCCTTTTCACCTTTGCAAATAAGAGGGATTTTGAAGGCAAGAAAAAGGTTGAGAGTAGTTTACAACTTGTAAAGACAGCAGCATCCGATGGACCTTGCCCCCAACTGCCTGTTAAGTGTTTAAGTGTTGGTAACTCCTTTTGCCTTTGTTTGGTCAGCTGTCCCCTATCCAATCTGACTTTATATGATTTAGGGGAACTGATTGCTTTACCCAAGCTCCAGAGAGCAAGAGGCAGGATTGGCCAGTTAGAACTTCTCCATTAGCTCAAGAGGGAGAAAGAATCACAGCACTTAGGCAAACAGAGCGTATTAAAGAAATGCTAATTAGATATAAAGTCAATAGCTGTTCATTAGAATTTTCCTCGCTGTGACAAATACATGACAGAAATAATTTAAAGAAGGAAAGGTTTGCATATCCCTGCAGGTTTTTTTTTTCTCTCTCATTGGATTGTTCCTTTGCATGTATTTGTATTAAGAACTTGCTGGTTAGCTGGGCAATGTAACACTTGCCTGCAATCACAGTACTTGTGGAGGCAGAGGCAGGAAGATCTCTGTGAGGCCAGCCTGGTCTACAAAGAGACAGCCACGGCTACACAGAGAAACCCTGTCTCAAAAAACAAAACAAACAAAAACAGAACTAGCCAGTTTGCCATGTTGAACATGGTGAATTCTTAGCTCTGCTTTGTCCACCTATTACTCTCAGGCAATCAGAATGGCTGCCCCACTCCAGCATGGAATGACTGTGATCTCCACTACTCTGCCTGTGAGGGCCTAGCTTTTGATTTACTCTCCTAATAGAAGAAATCCTAACAGCTTACACTTGACTTTTCCTACCCTGATAATTCATTGTCTATACATGGAGACAATATGACAACAGATGCAGTTTCCAAGTGTGTCTAATAACTATAAATTCTGAAGCTTGGGGGAAACACCAGTGGGCTAACAAACCTACTCTGCTTACTGGACTAAGAACTTATAACTTAGCTTATCTATCACCTAATCACAGTAATCCCCAATGTGAACGGAGGACTAATAAGTGGGTCCAAAGGACAACACTGAAATGTAGACTAGATTGTTTTTGGAGCTTAAGCAACGTACAGTAAGCAGTTTTACTGTTTTTTGTATAATATTAAATATCTACAAGACAGTTTCTAGTGTTAAATACTTGTTGATGAGGGAGGGTGCTACAATCGGGATATAAAATGAATAAATTGTAAAAATAAATAATAAAATTTTAAAAATGCTGTATTTAAGAATTGAAACTCTTACTCTGTTTTGTTGGGGGGCCAGGGGCAGATGAATTCTTTTCTCACAATGCTAGGTGAGCACTCCACCACCAAGCATCTTCCTAGGCCTGGCCTTGTTCATACAGTCTAGTAAACCACAAAGTCTTTTAAAGGGTTAATTTGATACCTAAACTCTATGGTTTACATGAAGTACTTTTTTGAGAATTATTTTAAGATCTAACCTAAGCTGATAGACAATACTGATGTAAGACATCCTGGCCACAGCCATCTTTATCAGTTGTTTAGAACAGGTAAGGGAAGCAAAAATGGCTCACGAATAACTTGGCTTAGACTGTTCAACCTTTCACTTCAAATGTTTGGTGGGTGCTGGTGTAGTTAGTCATTTCTAACCCTCTAGCAAAACATTCCCATGTTTCTATAATGAAGTATTATTTGGGGGGGCAGTATTTTAAAACGATCTAACTTAACATTACATGCTAGGAACTCTGAGACAAAACTAAGATGTGTTGCAATTAGCCAGGACTTTTTTCTTGAAAATCAATTTAAATTGTTCTTAGACAATTTTACACAATCAAAATGGGCAGTGACTACTCTCACCTTCCGTCCTCCCACCATTCCTGCTGACAGCCTCCCCCTTCCCACACATCTCTCACTGGGGCCCGCTATGATTCACAAGAGCTGTCTGTGTGACCATGTCTTTGAAGCTATCCTTTGGAGCATGGCGGGTTCAGCAGTGGGTACACGACAAAAGTCATGATGCTGCACCCACCCCACCCCAGGATCTACCAGTAACAAATGGTTCAAAAGTAAACAGTAGGGCCCCGTGAGACCCTCCCCAACCTTGAGGGTCAATAAGGCCCATCTCAGTTGGGCCTAATGCAGATAACAGTTTTGAGTTAATAATTGCAGTGACTGTATTCAGTCTAGAAACTAGCATTTTGCAACCCCTCGCCCCATCTTCTGGCCTTCTCCAGGAATGTTTCTTGAGACTTGGATTGGGTGGTACAGTTTTCTTTAAGGCTGGGCTCACAACTGTCACAGCTACATCTTAGGGAGGCATGAGTCTCTATATTAACCATCATTCATTGCAGAGCAAGGCTTCTGAGAGTAAGGCTGGGCTTTCTGGTTATGGGTGTAAGTATAGCTATGTAAAAGGTTGTTTGTTGCCATGTCAGTATAAAAAAGCCTCAATAATAACCTTCCCACATGGGCCTCCTGCCCAGGTCTGGGTGGTTAGCAGGATTACAGTACCTGGAACGGTCCCTCAACACTCCCCCATTTCTGTGGAGCAGGCTAGGGCTTTGGATAGTCTTGGATGGGTGTAACCAATCCTTCTTTCCCTCCATTTACATTTAAACTAAACATTCTTGGGATAAATTAATACAATAAATGGCATAGTTTAAAATATTATAGATTTTGAACTTTTCATTCTACCTACACGTGAAAAAGTATTATTATAATTGTCAAATCACAACTGTGTTTTACATAGATCCAGATATACAAAAATCATCATCTCATTGAACACACTGGGGCTGTAAAATAGAAGGTTTTCCTCAGGACAATAAAAAAAACAAGATTTTTTAAAAAATGACTTTAAGGTAAGAATCAAGTAGTTTGTAATAAAGTATTCCATGGGGAAAATGTGGCAGTACTGGTTGGTAACTGTACAGAAAGTCCAAACACTGGGTCGTGAGGGCCTTTGCCATGTTACCGGGCAGTGTAGAAGACAGGTCCGATGCTGTGAGTTTCAGGAACAGCAAACAATGGAACAAATTTAATCATGCTGTGTGTCACTCTGTTCACCATGAGTAATGCTGAAAATGAGTTTGTGACACATAAATACCCCAACATTCATACATTAGAAAATGGAAGGTGGATAGCCGCTATTTCCAGTCTACTGAGGGCAGAAGGTAGCACTACGGTGTACAGTCTGGAGAGAGAAATTAAGCAGCTGAATGTGGAAGGTTTCTCAGTGTCCAAAAAGCTACTTTTATCTTAAGCCTTTTAAAACTTCTACTGCCATATTACCTGTACAAAAATGGGGAATTCTGGCCCCTTTCCCCTTATAACTGAATTTTGCAGATTACATTTGGTACTTTTGTGCAGGTCTGGTTAGAAGAGAACTTGTGGGAGTCAGTTTCCTCTTTCCACCATGTGGTCTCAGGGATCAGAGTCTGTCATCAAAGTAGGCAGCAAGCATCTTTACCCTCTGAGCCATCTCACAGACATACATGTGGGAGATGATTCAGTCTGTCACATACCTGCCGCACTAGTACGAGGATCTGAGTTCAGATCCCATGACTCATACAAAAAGGCACGTTCAACAGTCCATGCTGCCAATCCCAGCACAAGAGAGGAGCCAGGGCTCCTCTGGGCTTAATGGCTGCCAGTTATCACTTGACTGGCAAGTTACTGGTTCAGTGAGAGACTTGGACGCAAAAATAAATATGGAGAGTGACAGAGGACACCTCATGCTGACCTCTGGCCTCTTCATTAACACACACACTAATGCATACACCACACATATACACAACCACTTGGGAGGTGAGAGTGGAGAAACCACTCTTGGGAGAAACTAGATACAATAATTTTATAATAAAAAGTATCCCCTAAAGCAAGCAACTGAAGATGAACACCGAAAGAAACCCAGCCACTCTTTAATTTTAGGCAAAAGTATATGTGCCAATATTAATTTACAAAAATAAGTTTAGTCCTTTGCTATAAACACTTTCACAGTTTTAAAAGGAAATGAGTCTCACACTGTCTTCCAGGGTCCACAGCACATCATCCTTCTACACCCTGCTGCTCAGAAGGTACTTTCTGCGTGGATCTGTTCCGAATCCTTTTCCTTTTCCTTTTCTTTTCCAAAGCAGGCGACTTTGTGTCCTGCGGTTTCTTCTTTTTCTTCAAGCAGCTGAGAGGATTGGGGCCACCCTTCTTCTTTTTCCTCCTCCTCCTCAGTTCAGGGTTCTTCACTAAGCCTTGCTCCTCCTTGAGTTGCTTTATACTTTGTTTCTCGTGCACGGAGACCAGCTGGCCTGACTCCACTGCCTTCACAAAGGCCACTGTTCTGGGAGAAGGCTTGTCCAAGACTATAGTGTTCTGAATAATGAACATGAGTGGAATTCCAGGACTTTTCTTGACTTTCACAGATAAGTTCTGATCCTTTTTAAAAGAAAATGGATTTAGTTTTTCAACCAAGTTTAGGTACCTAAAATTAAATTTCTAAGAGATTACAAAGTAAGCTGAAGCTAAGTGAGTAATAGCAGTCTGGGCTAGGAGCGATAAATTATCAACTAATGAACACTAAAAGCATTAGGAAGTTATTCTCTCAAAACATCAAAGTGAGAAGAAGTGAAGTGTAGTAATGAGCTAACTCAGAAATCATTCTGCAAGTATAGTTGAGCAAATCTGCATGTGTTTTAGTATCAACCTTGACAGTCTCTCCTTTTGCCTCCCAGTCTTTAAATGACTTCAACATTCCATGCTATTGCTAGTCTTTTAAGGTTTATTTATTTTTGTTGAGGTACACCAACACTGAGACATGTCCAGACATGTCTAGGCCTCACTGCCTAGCATAATGGCAGAAATTTTGTTTTAAGTCTCCATTTTGATCATAAGGTGAAATTAAGTTCAAGTTCTCGGGCTCTGCCTGCCTGAAAACTAGAATAGCCTTTTATTTACATACAGTTCAATACTTTTTCAATGTTCTGCTTGAATTAATGATATCTGGTCTACTTAAACAAAACCACAATACCCTATGTTCCTTTCTCCCAGAACAGTGGGGAGCAAGAAAGTCCCCACACTGCTCCCATACCCTATATCCTAGACAATCAGTTTAAAATGCTCTGTTTAGCTAGTCAAAATGATGTATTGCTGCCTTCCCTGTGCTTCCTACACATGGAAACCTGGTTGTTATCTGGTTACGGTTTTTCGTATAAAAAAGCCTGCCTTAGAAACAGACTGGCATCACAGCGTGACATCAAGTCCACTCTGCCTCTGACTGGGTCAGTTTTTGTTCAGAATTCAATACTTTCATCATTCTGAATGGTGAGTGCGGGCTAGTCTCCAACTCAAACAATTATGTGTATAGATGCTTCATGTATGGCCTTGAAGGCAAAAATAGGATGTTGGATTCCTTGAAACTGTAGTTACAAATGGTTGTGAGCAGCTTGTAGGAAATAGAACCCCAGTCCTCTAAAAGAGCAGCCAGTGCTCTTAACTACTGAGCCCTTTCTCCAGCCCACTAACGCCAGTCTTAAAAGATATGCACCATGACTTTCTGAGAAACAGTATGAATTCAGGAACATGAAAAACAGTTCCAAATACAGAAGGCAGACACTTTGCCCTACTCTTCCCTCCTTGAAGAACCCTGAAGCAATCAACACACTACTGCAGCAACTCATCCCCTAAAAGGAAATGACTAGAAGAAAAAAGTTCCGTGGACTTAAGGTTTTCTCCTCGTATGATCAAGTAACTGTCTATACCGACTCCATTTAAAAAGTCCAAACAATGAAACGTGTGGACTATAGCTAAGTGACAGAATCCTTGTCTAACACACAATAAGTAAGTAAATAAAATTCCAAACATTAAATTCTCTCTCCTGATTATATTTTCTGATTATAAACGGCTCTACATGAAGTATTTATAAAAGTGGTTACAACTGCCTTACAGTTTTAAAAGTAACGTTACCTGTGTTGCCACAAAATAATGGTGAGGATTCCCCTCATCCACCATGGACAGGAGACATTCTGATCCACTCACTGGACCTTTGAAATGAGGGCAATTTCGAACCTGGAATTTCTGTGCAATCAGTTTTGCTCCATATAATTCCTTTCCCAGTGTTTCTAACTCCTTTAACACACACCTGAATGGAAAAAAAGTCATTAGAAGCCCAGAATCACAACTGATACATTCCTTTTGTTTATACAAAAAAAGCATAAACACAATACTCACATTCTTAAAGTAAAAAAACTATAGCATTAAGAATTTGAATTTATAGTATGGTTGCCATTTTCTTCTTAAATAAAGACTTAAAAAATATACACTGTAAGCAGAAAGAATACCAATGTCAGGATATAATGAGCACTTGTGTGTACAGCAAGGATGCAAACTGGTCTTCACATATATTACTGCTTAACCTCAACTGACTCCTGAAGCTGGGTGATAAATTTAATTAATTTCTAACTTATCCTCAAATCGGGCTGGAGAGATGGCTCAGAGGTTAAGAACACTCGCTATTCTTCCAAAGGTCCTGAGTTCAATTCCCAGCAACCACATGGTGGCTCATAACCATCTATAGTTAAGATCTGGTATACAGGCAGAATGTTGCATAAATAATATATAAATCTTAAAAACAAACAAACAAACAAACAAAAAACGTATCCTCAAATCTGTACCTCTTTTAGAGGTGCAAGATACAATGAGCCTTCCAGATGGTATAGGGGACTCCAGATTGCTATTAAAACAAACAAACAAATACAACTTCAGAAAATACTAACAGAATCAAAAGCAACTTGTATTTTGTTTGAATCCTGATTTTTTTTTTTAAATGTTCTTCATAATTGTAGGAGCCAGAAGGGTCAAGGACACCAGGAGAAGATGGTCCACTGAATCGACTAAGCAGGGTTCATAGGAGCTCAGGGACAGAAGCAGATGTCTTGGAGCCTGCCTGAGTCTTGAGCTAGGTCCTCTGCATATATGTTATGGTTGTGTAGTTTGGTGCGTTGGTGGAACTCCTTAGTTGGAGAGAGGTGCTTTTGACTCTTTCACCTGCTCTTGGAATCATTCTTCTCCTACTGGGTAACCTCATGTAGCCTTAATGAGGGGTTTGTCCCTAGGTTTAATGCCATCTTGTTATGTCATGTTCAGTTGACATCTCTAGGAGGACTGCTCTTTTCTGAAGGGAAACAGAGGAAGAATGGGTATTAGGGGTTGAGGGGTCCTGGAAAGAGTGGAGGAGGTAAAACTGCAATTGGGATATATTTTATGAGAGAAGAATTTTTACAAGGTTACCCATGATAAATAGCAAAAAGTTAAGAGATGCTCTAACTCGAGCTTAATGAGGTAGATCAGAGATGGAAGTCAACAAGAATGAGCACTCTAGTACCTGCAAATGCTGGGTATCAACTGCATCATTCTAATTTGGTGGTGGTGGTGGGAGGAGGAGGAGGAGAAGAAGAAAAAAAGATTTCCAAAGTTAAGTTCTTCTTCCTCTCCTCCTGGTCTTCCTCCCCCAATCCCAAAGATAGGTCCTTGCTATATATATAACCCAGTCTGACTTCAATCTCATGGTAATCCTCCCTGACTTAGCCTCCCAAAGTGTTTATATTATACATGCAACCTGTGTTGAGAGGCTCAGAAGTTAAAGTCCTTAGGAAAAAAATGCTAGAGGACATGTATAAATATATTACTTGTCAACCGTTTTGCATCATAGCAGTGTATTAATATTACTATGGTCCATGGAATAAACAAATTACTTATGCTCAGAAGCAGCCAATTCAGGGGGAGAGGCTGTCAAAAGTTATAGAGGGATCCCAAGGCTAAAGGGATAAAAAAGTTGAGAGTATTAGACCCGTTAAGCATTTAAAAGTTTGTATGTATTGGGCTGGATGGTGGTAGCACACACCTATAATCTCAGCCTTCAGGAGGCAAAATAGGGTGTTAGATGACCTGGACCTGGAGTTACAAGCAGTTGTGAGATCCCTAATACAGATGCTGGAAGCCATCGTAGGTCCTCTGGAAGAGCAGAAAGCATACTTAACCACTGAGCAATCTTCCTAGGCTGTGATTAAAATTCTGAGATTATCTGCAACTCAGAAAGAACATTCCTTGAGAAATTCTAAATATGGAAGGCCGTTCACTACAAGGCAGAACATTAACACAGCACACAGCACAGCTTGGTTTGTACAAATGTATACAGAACACTCTGACTTTCTGAGCTGTAGTAGTATAACTCATCTTAATTTATTTTCTTAAGTAAATAGTGTAAAATCTACTAAAATTTTTAGTTGTTCATGGTCTAGCTTCAGTTCACCTTTTCCTTACTTTCCTGTCCCACAATATTAGATACAAACTGTTCTTCAGGCATTGATCAATTCTATGTGTTCCAAAGTTCTCTCAAACAGTAACACCACTATCTCTACCATTCAAACAGACTTATCCCCTCAGGTCTGAACACATCTCGGGACTCAAACATCGACTCCATGAAGCATTTTAAATATTGTCCAGCCTCCTGCTCGCACTGTTCTACCTCAGATGTGTTTACATGAAGCGAGGAGGCACGGATGTGGAATGAAAACAGACATCAGATGTTGACCTTACAGACTTCAACCTGGCTATAAGGCATCCTCAGTGTCTGGAGCAACGCTTGGCACATGCTTGGCACTTATAAATGGCCTTGGGCAAAGTTTTCAATCTCCAGTCTTGACTTCTTCTCCTACGAACTGAAGATATCTCTTTGGCAGTTGGAAGGCTTGAAAACATTTGGGTAACAACCGCTAGAGAGATGGCTCATCGGTTAAGAGCGCTAGCTACTCCAGAGGACCAGGGTTCAATTCCCAGCACTCACATGGCAGCTTGTAGCTAGCTGTGTAACTTCTGTTCTAGGTGATGCTACACCCTCACCCAGACGTACATGCAGTCAATGTCAACAGCAATGTACATAAAATAAAAATAAATTTTAAAAAAGCCAACATCATTGAAAGGGGACTGGCATTTTGAACGCTGAAAATGTCTTATGTACACTATACCTCATCTGACCTTACATCAACTTTGAAGAAGTTATGCAACTAAGCTTTTGGTTTGTTTTTGCCTGAAAATCAGGGCTGGTTTTGACTGGGACCAGGAGTCAAAGCCAAGCCCACCTTCTACAGAACACCTGTTCTGATTTCCGCAGCGGTAACAAGGAATATTCACAGGGCACAGCACCATCCGCCTGATTTAGTAGTTACTACTCGGAAACAGACTTATCCCTTTGCACCTCGAGAGTTGTGGGCCACACCCGCGACCCCGCCCCGCAGGCCCACCTCGTGGTGCACAGCTGGGTCTCCCCCATAAGGTAGCGGGGCAGCTGGTCCCGCAGCTGGATGCGACCCCGCAGCGCCGCCTGGCAGAAAGTGCCGTCCAGAAGGATCTGGTAGGGCTCGCGGACCCCAAAGTTGTTGCGGAAGAAGGCAAGATGCTTCTTAGCGTGTTTCTGCCTGGTGATCTTCATGCCTGCTTAAGCTACCGACCCACGGGGGCCACTCCTAGCAGCGAGGCATCCCCGGAAGCCAAGCGCCTTGGCCCGGAAGTACATGGCCTTGTGCCCAAGGCCCGCCCCTCTGGTTTACGTCATTCTCCGAGGAGGCTCACGCCCGCCTCCAGAGGCAAGCTTTAGGGGGCGGAGCTTCCGCCTGAGCAGAGAAGCCTCTGAGTATGCAAATTTACGCAGGTTGGCACTTGCGCAGTCGTGAGCTGGAGTAAGAGTGTTCTTTAGGTGGGTTGCTGCCTGGCACTTAACAAGTCTCTGAAAGACTAGTAATATGAAAATAACCAATGATGATACCATTGACCTAGGCAGTCAGTAATTTGCCGTTTACCATGTATCATTCCCATGAATGTTTTTAATTTCCAAGTGAGGAAAATGAGCCATAACTTGGACAGCCATAACTTGGGAGGTTTTGCTGGCTGCTAGTCTTTAAGGAAGCAAAGCACTTTTGCTCAAGGCGCACGGTTCTTCAGTGTCTTGAACTCACATTGACTGCCTGATGTTCACAGGTATTTTACCACATCTTAAGAATTGACCCCATGATATAAAAGAAAAAGGGGGGGGGGGGAAGGTCTGTTAATCAACACACAGGCAGTCTCTACCCCATTAACCCAACCTGGAGAACCCAGTTGAAAGAGCCAAATTTGCTGGTTGTGGTAGTGCACTTGCCTCCAGGAGGCGGAGGTAGGCTTATCTTTGTGAGTCTGAGGCCAGCCTAGTCTACTTAATGAGTTCCAGGACAGCCAGAGCTACACAGTGAGATCCTGTCTCCGGAAACAAAACAAAAAAAAACAAAGCTGTAGAGCAATTTTAATTCAGAACATGGCTGCTCTGGCAAGAGATCACATCCAAAAACCTTCTAGGGCTGTGTAATCCAGCCGGAATGCAGACATGCTGAGTGGTGGTGGCATACACCTTTAATCCCAGGAGACAGAGGCAAGCAGATCTCTGAGTTCAAGGCCAGCCTGGTATAGAACAAGTTTCTGGTAAAGAAAAGCTTAGGTCCAGGCATCGTGGTACACACTTTTAATCCTAAACAATCAAGGCAAAGTCAGTTTGTAGAAGGAAACACCCATGTTTGAAAGTGATGTCTAATTGAGTGGAGGAAAAAGTGATAAAACAGAGAAAGATTTGACAGAATAGAATATGCGAAACTCTCAAGAGGAGAGAGTGGAAATGGAATCTACTTAAGGGAGCAGCACAGAGAATGAAGGGAAGGACGCAGCTTTACTGAGAGAGTTTTACAAAGGGAGGTTGAAGAAAAAACAAGCTAGACACGTGAAGACGGAAGAACAAGAACAGATAATGAGAAGGAGCCAGATGAGAACAGATTGTTAGAGTTAGTTTGAGGGCAAGCAGAGCAATTCAGAGGCCAAAAGAAAAACCAGATTGAATAAGTCAGCTGGGAGAAAAGTTTGAGCCAGAGCATTTGAGTTTAACCAGCCAGCCATAGTTCAGAAAAAGCTAGAAAGGGTGAACTAATTTGCCAGTGAGTCTCAGAGGCTAAAAACATTCTAGACCTAGATTAGATTGTACAGAAGCTAGAAGCTTCCAGGACTAGGCCTACATTAGCAGAAAGAGGCAGTAAACTTCAGAGACGACAATTAGATCAGGCAAATAAAAGGTACTTTTACACAAAAACAAACAGCGAAATTAATGGTAAGAAAACATTTGCTTAGGGGCTGGAGAGATGGCTCAATGGTTAAGATCACTGTCTATTCTTCCTAGAGGTCCTGAGTTCAATTCCCAACAACCACATGGTGGCTTACAACCATCTATACTGAGATCTGATGCCTACCTCTGGCATGCAGGTGTACATGGAGATAGAGCATTCGTAAACATAAAATAAATAAATATTTTTAAAAAATTTGCTTAATTGGCCAAATAGAGAACAGGGCCAAAAACTTCCAGTGACCAGCCACTACTGCAGTCAAATCTCTGAGGTCCTAAAGTGAAATTAATGTATACATAGGTAGCCAGAGATATGAATATCTAACCCAGTGGTTCTCAACCTTCCTAATACTATGACTTTTTAATATAGTTCCTTGTGTTGTGGTGATCCACAACCATAAGATTACTTTCACTGCAACTTCATAACTTTAATATTGCTACTGTTGTGAATCGTGATGTAAAATAGCTATTTTCCAGCCAGGCAGTGGTGGTGCACACCTATAATCCTAGTACTTGGGAGGTAGAGGCAGGCAGATCTCTATGAGTTCAAGGCCAACCTGGTCTACTGCATAAGCTCCAAGACAGCCAAGGCTACAAAGAGAAACTCAGTCTGGAAAAACTCAACAAAACAAAACAAACAAAAAACTGTTTTCTGATGGTCTCAAGGGACAACAGTTGACCCCAAAAGGGTTGTGACCCACAGGCTGAGAAACACTGAATTTTAACCAATCCTTATTAATGTGTGGTACTGCCCATCATTGACCCATCATTTTCTGCGCATCAGTCTTGTCCTGCAAATTGTTCTAACAAGGTGTTAGAACTATGAACTCTCTTTCCCAGCAGACAAATTAAGTACCCCCTTGGTGCCAGGCTCTGAGCCTTTTTCTTCTCCCAGCAAGAAATTCCCATTTCTTGGGGTCAGTTGTTTTAATTGAGAGACACAAAAGAATACTTTTGTTTCTAACAGGCCAGTTACAGAGCCGTTATTTGTAAATCCTCATCCTAAAGCCAAGCCGAAATGACTCTGTTTTAGAATTCCCAAGAGTTTCATTATCCGCAAGTCTGTCAGTTGAAGGCCTGATCCTACCACTGACCTGAATTGTTTGAGCTCAGTGACTCTCCAAGGCAGCTGTGCCCAGCTTCTTTTTCAAAATTTGAAGGTTGATTCAATTTTATAGGCATTTTTGTTCATAGTTTCTAACATCAGAAAAACACATACTAGGTTAAAAATAGGAACCCACATACCTAATTTAAATAATTTAGATGTTACTTAGTCAATTTGGTTAAATGGAGACAATGAACAAGAAGTTTTGAAATTTGATTAACCTTGAAGGTTATCCATTTTAAGGTAAAATGATCAAAAAATGTAGAGTATGGATTTTACATTTTTGTCTCTGCCTGGAATCTGTCCCAGATCTAGTTTTGGCAAAAGATTGAAAGAACCATTTTTTAAATGACTTATAATGTGATTGAAATGTATTGCTTGCATTTGGCATTTTATTTCAATTTATAGGTTTATGGAATTGAACTAAGGTATTCTGTAAAATTAGCCCCAACCTGAATCCCAGCACTACCCTGAGATGGCTGCTTTCATTTAACTGCAAATAAAATTAGGAATTTGAGATCATGAGAAGCTGTAGTGGGGCTGGATTCATAGTCTTTTATGCATAATTGCTCGCTATTTTCTACTTTAATCCTTCCATTACCCCTGTATGCACACTCCTTGTCCTGAATGACTCTCATCACCTAGAAATATAATCCCAACCTTGTAAGACAATTAAAAGCTTTTTTTAAAAAAAATAGGCTCACATCTTTCCACCTAGATCTAATTTCTAGCACTTTTTAGTTGTAAAACAATGTGGGACACAACTAAGAACTTGAACCATATTCTATTATTATTATTTTTTTATTTTTATTTTTAGCTTACTGAACTACAGCATAAGCTTTTTCCCGGTCTATGTTTGACTGCCAATTTGCACATGTATTCTTCTTTTTAAAAGTATAAAAGAACCTTATAGCAGTGATTATCAGGTTTGAAATAATTTTCTTTTGATTTTTTTTAAACTAGATCTCCAGATATGCAGTGAAAGACTTAGTGTGCTGGCTTAGGCACGTTGTAGATATTGCTGCTTCAGAACAAGTTTTTCTGGAGAGATTCTACAGCAGCTTTGCTGTCTTAGACGTTCTCAGTTGGGGCTTGAAATGTGGATAGTAGCGACTTCCATAGGGACTGGGTCTCCTCTGATTGATACAAGCCTGTGATAAATTTTAACTCATACATCATCACAGTAGGAAGTAGGTGTCAACAATAAAACAGAGTGGCTAATACTGCAATCAAACTTATGTGTTGTTCTCTTGTCTATGTCTGTGTGTAAGATCTGTTTTTTTGCTTCAACTTCCACCCACCTACAAGGTGACTAAAGGTTTGGTAGTATATACAGTATTCAGACAGAAAGGCACATGAATTATGAAAACTTCTCCAAGTCATTGCCATGCTTGTTAGTGTTTCCGGCTGACTGTTTGCAGAGAAATACTACTGTTTAGCCAACATGGTATTTTCATTAAGTGATCTACCAAAATCATTTTTGCTCACATGCCAAATGACCTAGTATTAATGGCAAGTCAATATTTTGTCACAGCCAAAGCAGAAGCTAAACTTTGCCATTATTCAATAAACTATTAGGATATAAGTTTAATTTAAAAAAATAATTAATCATTTTGAAAAGAAATTCTGTGGTGTCATTGTTAGAGTGCAGCAGTCTTTACCTTAACATTGCTGTCCATTATCTCTGACTTGGGTTGGTGTCCTGGGTACTTTCTATGCCAGACATTTATATTCAGCTGAGATGGGTGGAGAATTAGTTTACTTTTCTTTACTTTAAAAATGCTCTTAATATTCACTATTGTGTCTGGATCAAATATAATTTATAAAGTGACATTATTATACATGGTCTTGGAGGTTTTTCTTCATGAAAGATTGATGAAACCAAGATGACATGAGAATGATTTATTCTTGGAAGGTTGTGACTAATAGGACTATTTCATGAAAGATTCATTGTCTAAATGAAGTTAAATAGGTAAACATTAGGTTCAGTTCACAAAGGTTATTTTGTTTCACTCATGAATGTTGGTATAATTTTATTTAATTTCATGGACATCAGGGGATGCATGTTATATATCTATTGTGATATTATCTCCCTGGTATTCATGGTTAAATATTTATAAACATTTGTTAACATGGCATTAACTCAAAAAGAATATTACTTTCCTCCTAAATTATGCATAACATTCTCTCTAAATAAACAGTTTAGCCAAATAAATTGTATTTTAGAACAAGTCAGGTAAATTGCTACAG